TCATAAGAGCGGTTGCATTAACATTATACTATCCCGACATGTACAACTATCCCTTGACTTTTCGAATTATTTGAGTAGCTAAACTTTTTTGTTTAAATAAAAATATTTGGTATCATGCCAGGCGGTAGTATTATACTTAAACACTCGAAGGTGAAAAACCGTATAACTGCGGAATTGTCTGCTATCAAAAGATCACAGTGAAACTCAGACACGCGCTAATACCGAATTGCTATAAAAAATCAACGATCTCAACCGCAATATAAGCCTCATGGGCTATGAAGTTCGCGACATCAAAAATGGTGTTGGCAGTCGCGATAGTTATTCCGGCTCTCGAAGGTACGGGTCCCCAAGATTGTACCAGCGATGTTCAAATTCTCTGGCAAGAAATAAAGGAGCTGGGTCAGCGTCTTGGAGATGTGACTATCCGGAAATTTCACAAACGTTTAGCTCGTAATCCCGCGGATGAAACACACAGAATTTATTAGGTTGTGGAGAGGGAGTTAGATGCAGAGGTGGAAAACGAGGATAAGCATAGTGACAACGCTAGCAGGAGCACGATAAGACCTCAAAGAATAGGAACGTTCCTTTTGGGCTTTGGATCCTGGGCAATTTCTCCCATGCAAGGTCTTATGCTCTATTTAAGGAATATGCTAGCATTTTCCTGAATATAACAATATATCGATCAAGACTGAAAAGTAACAGTATTGTCTACGGGATGATATGCAAATACGTTGCTTCCCAATATTTTTCCAACTTCTTCATAATTATCGAAAATTTCCAATAAAGCTCTGATTGCTTTCGGAGAAGTTGGGCAATTTTGAATTTCTTCTCAGTTTCAGTTAGGATTGACTTTTTAATGACTATATAAACAGAACCAGTCAATCAAAAGCAGTGCATTTTATGCGAAATAGCAAAAACTAATCCTTACCTTCAAAGGATTTTCCAGCCATGTAATCATCTGCCAGTCTTCAGCTCTACAATCTGACCACCAACCAATTCATATAATTTTTTGCTTCTGCTTCATTGATATTGTGCTTCATTCCATTGATCGAATGACCTAGCAACAAAATCGTTTCTTATAGTCTTGATAAAAGTGCATCCGTTGAGCTTTGACACAATTGCAAATTCATTATGAGACCCTTCACTACAAGCAGGAGTTCCTCCATACAAGTCTCTCCTCTTTTTTGCATGGTTCTGAGCCCCTGATGAGCAATGTCTATTTGCAAATTTTCTAATCGGATTGGTAGAAAAGGACATTTGAACCATCTGGGATGCAATATGATCAGCATTTATGGCTGCAGGACTCAGTATCGGGGAAGTCGCAGAACCAGTCATGAGTGCAGGACTAACTGTTAAGGGTGCAGGAGCTACATGGCTGTAATCAACATGACGAGAACGCCAAGAGCTAATACTAATGATTGCATATACAATACATTCATTTCTTTTCAAATGATTTTATTTATTCCAGGGCCCTATCTGGGCATAGCTGGAGCTGCATTTCTAGAGAAGCCTGTATGTGAACCTCTTGTGCCTGTGATGCCTTCAGTTGTTCTACCCCACAATGAATGCATGCTATTGGAAACAGCACACTTGTTTAAGGCACTCAAGATTGCACTTTCAGATTTAGAGAAGTTTTATGATCAATTGAGAAATCAACAAGATCTTGACATCAGTGACCTCAATGATCAACTGTGTTACCCATACATTGACCATGTAAAAGTTGGAAAGATTGATGCCAAACTCACATATATTGACAGTCGAGGTGATCATATATTTAATGCAGAAATGAAATATGGTTCCACATCATTATCTCGCATTGTCATTGTCAAATTTACCAAGAGATATTCAATAGAGTGTCACACCACATGTCATAACATGGAATTTGCCCCAGAACTGTTTGTCTGTGAGCAGGTTGCTGGTGGATGGTATGTTGTAATCATGGAGTTGCTGATGGAATACCATACAGCACACTCTTTGGCTGGGGAGTATCTTCTCTCATCCAAAACATTGAAACAAGTAGAGACACTGGTAAAAAAGATGCATGACCTTGGCTTTGTGCATGGGGATCTGAGACTCCCAAACATTCTGGTGGGTCCTGAGTGTTCAGTAAAGTTAGTAGACTTTGACTGGGCTGGCAAGATTGGAGAAGCCATCTACCCACCCCTTATTATTATGAATCGTAAAATCAGTTGGCATCCAGAGGTGAAGTTTGGAGCAGAAATCTGGCCAGAACATGACTTATATATGCTGAGTAGAGTGCTTAATAACCTTCCCAAGAGTTGAGGTCTCTATCATGATGGATAAAAACAGGAGAATCACAATAAATGATATAGATAATAGAAAAAAAAAATAGTATGACATCAAATACATTTTTGATAAAGTTAACAGACATTGGATTCTTTCAGAATGAATACAAAAAAAAGGTAGTTTAGTTTGTTGTTACCTTGATGAGTTTATTATCATAGGCAATAAAGGCAAAAATGGTTGCAAGTACTGTGCTGGTGCTGAATTTGGGATAATTATTGATTGGTTAGGTTTTTCTTTATGTGCTACACTAAGGAGTGATGTTATAGAGTTTTAGACTCCAATTTAGTATTAGTCAGAAGACATAATGTTTTTCTTATTGGTTAAAAGACAAATGTAAAAGCAAACTGAAAGGAGGAAATGCAAATAAAAAATTGAGCAGAACAACATGAAGACAAATAAATATGAAACAAAATTTTGAGAAATTGCTAAAATTTATATATAGGAATACCCGTATATGAAAGGTTATAGTTATAACAGTTCAACTGAGTACGAAAAAGCAATGTGTTTCTTGGAGATAGGTTGTAATTGTGGTTGTTCGAAAATAATTCCAAGAGAAAATTTTGCTGAATTACGTGAGGCGTTTCAAGATCTGAACAAGATATATTTTTAATGGCTCAACTGAAAACAATGAATGGTGGAGAAATAACTGCCAGTCGACGTCTTAAAAAGAAAACACGTACTAATAAGAGAACATTTTACTATTGAGATCGCAATACGCCGCTTTGTCAAAAAACGTATCTGAATATGTTAGGAATTGGTCGCACTCACTTCGAAAA